ATTTAACCTGCCACCACATAATAATCTTCTTCCCGCGTTCGCATGAGATCATGTGAGTGCCATCGCAACTCCAATGGGTGGAAACTACCATGTTGCTGAAAGCGAAGACAAACAAGATCAGCGATGCAAGAATACTTGTAAATAAGGAAAAAGGGACCATAAAACCATTTCTTCAGGACCATCGATAAGTCCTCAGCGTATAACAATTGGTATCATTTATCGTAATTATGTTTTTTTTTTTACCTAATTACTAAGAAGTCCTCGTGTAGTGTGAAGAGTAGTAATTCAACTAATTACACCTATAAAATATGTGCACGAAGAAACGTGGTGAGACCAGATGAAGTAAATATTGGTGAAGAGAACTGACCTACTGCTCGATGCACTTCAAAATACAAGTTCAAACGCAGAGGTAATGACAAATCAGTCAAGAAGGGATCAACTAATTTGCTACGAACTCACTCATGACCATGCAGAATGCTCTGCACATTTCCAGAGTTGACATTCCACACAAATATGTCACCATTCTGCGATCCGCATGCGGCAAATACTCGATCTGGTGAAAAGCAGGGTCTAACACAATCTGCATGTACATGAAAGTCCGCAGCCTGAAGGGTCTTCAAGACACTGTTTTGACGCAGATCAACGATATGAAGAATGTCATCTCGTGTACAAGCCAAGATATAGATACTGTCTACAGAAAAAAGTGGGGAGAAAGGTTATTAGAGAGACCATGAGGTCACAACACTCACCGGTTGAGACATCTAGGCCGGTGATTCGAGCGGAGAGAGCAATCTCGCTGATCTGATGGCCAGATTCCTGGTCCCAAATACGAAGTTTCTTATCCGAGTGCCCACTAACAAGGCTGCGTGTGGATGGACAAGCGATAATATCGTAGCAGAGGGAAGTGACAGGGATGGTTCGGGAGCACTGACGCCGCCCCACGTTCCACAGCTGGCAAGGGAGGCATCAACTTGTAAACGCACTTATTGCCTCAAGGCAATCAAATCGTTTCCATGTGGGAAAATATAAATAGTAGGTGGCGTTAGAGTCAAACCAGTAGGTTTATTCGTAATAGTCTAGCCCATTATTCGTCATCAATCACAACGGCGGACAGGTGAGAAAAAAACGCATCAATGAAGCAGTGCGCAACAGTGAATGTGGTTAATAAGGCCCTACACCTAGCGGAAAGTAAGTTTCTTCGAATTTCAAAACAATGATTAAGAAAGACACACCTTTATAGTACGGTCATAGGAAGACGTGACAATAGCATTGATATTATCAGCACCTCCGACAAAACGTGCTGCCAATAAACGGTCTGAGTGACCTGTCAGGTTAACTTTAAGACGTCGGTCTGCAAGGGTCCAAACGCGACAGGCGAAATCACTGGAAGCACCTAAAACCATGGTTTCCTAGAAGAAAAAGGGAGGTCGAATTTGTTGTATTAGTACAGTGAACAACACAAACAGGCGATGCAACTGTAATAGCAGTTAAAGCCAAGTCAGGGACTCTGACATCACAACTCAAAAAGTGCACACATACGTTAGTAAGCGACAAATGTGCTACCGGTATTCACTAAAACCAAAGTACATCGCAGTAGATGGATGCGTACGGAGTGATGTGCAGTGAATTCCTCGACACTCCTTCATGCTTGCAGAAGGCTTTAAGTATGGTACAGGAAGAATTCAGGAATGCAGTGACGGATTTAGGAGGCTTAAACATCTTAACGCCAATTTGCTGTTCACTAATTCAGATCTCAGTAGTGAGTTTTGTTTTACATCAATAATAATAATAACTGTTAAAATTTCAATCCCATAAAGGACACTAAGATACCAAACAAAACTATACAAAACCGCAACTTGGTAGAGGACAAAAACCTTAGCAGCCAAAAAAGTAAGACACTACAAACTTGCCAAAAAAGGCTTGACCAAGTCGACACTATTTTACCAAAACCTTACATCTTTATCAAAATCCACCGCAGTAACGCCG